TAAGATTGATATAAAACAGCCGATAAAACATAACTCATCGTTTAAAGTGCAAATTAGATCAAATTTAGATTAACAAACGATGTGTTAAATAAGATATAAGGCCGATCTAGATCAATTCCAATCGGGCGAAGTGATATTGCTATAATTAAAAAAATAATAGAAACAATAAACAATATCGGTAACTTAATGAATCTATCCGAAGGAACACCACCCTTAGATAGAGTCGATAACTTGACCTTAATCTAGTTCGAGCTGTGGGGGTCGACCGGATCGATGCAGCCGTACTTGAACTAAACAAGAGTCGATAACTAACTTATACCAGAGTCGCAGTGGAGGTCGACCGGATCGATGCAGCCGTACGAACAGAGGTATAAGTCATGACGGTACTTACAGACAAGCAGTGGAGGTCGGCCGGATCGATGCAGCCGTATTTGCTGAAGAACTCACCGAGATCTACTCTACTCCTACTCCTAACAGGTGGCCGGAGCCGAAAAAGTAAGTAACTTATATTTGATTGATTGTGTGTCCTTTACAACAGCCGGGCTTTGATATTTATACCCGGGACCTGTGCATGACTCCTGTTTAAGCACAACTCATCACAATTTTTGACCCTAAAGAAAATATTTCTAATTTAAGATAACTTGGACTCTAATCTTTTCCTTTTTATAGAGTCCAACATGTCTCGTCCTGGCGCCGATCATAGCCTTTGTCGTTATCTGCTGGCGCTATCTGAAGAAAGTCGATTCCAGTTTTCGCATTTGAATTAGCTGGTCCCGATCTGCACGCAATGGATTCCTTGATGACATGATCTTGGGAGCTTTCGAGTCCCTGTGACTCTTCTTCCAAATTCTGGTGTAAACACATGCCCCCAATTTTGGGATAAAAGTAATTTTATTTCAAAATTATCACGTATGTGCCCCCGATAGGTCCGCAGTCACGGGTAAAGAATCTTGATCTGGGGTCTACTGTTTGTCGCCGTCTATGTCAGCTCATGAGCCCATGCTTCAAAACTTTTACGAGAGCATCGTTACTTCACGGTGATTAAAATTTAGGAGGTGTCACGTGAGGGTGTCGCATGGGTTGTTCGGATACTAATAAAAAAAACAAATTAAAGAATCCATCAGTACTCTATGAGACGAATTTATTAAGCCTAATTAATCCATCATTAGCATATGTTTACTGTAGCACTGCATTGTCAAGTCATGGACTAATTAGGCTTAAAAGATTCGTCTCACAAATTAGTCATAAGCTGTGCAATTAGTTTCGTAATTAATCTATATTTAATACTCCATGCATATGTCAAACATTCGATGGGACAGCGACTAAAGTTTAGGAGGAGAAACCAAACGTCCTCGGTTTATGGTCGAGAACAATTTGGGGGGTCCAATGCCCTAAATCAAGTCGGCCCCTGCCTTCAGTAGAGGAAGGAATTGTTTGCAGCCTGGTTGATTAATCTTAGCTGGTTATCTGATTATTCAGAGCGATCTGTTTTGCTCTTGTAGATGATAAGCCTGTTCGCTTGCTCGTAAACGATCGTAAATTTCCAGCCGGGAATAGTGTTTTTCTCTCACATCAAACCAGTCAGCAGTAAATAATCCACGATACGATACGGCCTCACGAACAGGCTAGATAAGTGAACTAGAAAGCCATAGGCATCAATTAACTCTACCTGGGACCAAAAAAGGAATAGAGAACTCACGACCTTTATGATTCTTCCTGGGTTCATCATGACCATGGGACCTTTTACATGATAGGAGTCCATGGTTGTGTAATAGTGATGTATCAATGAGTGTATAGAAATTATGTGGGTTTTTTTTTGGCTTTAATACTCCAATTGTATCTCAGTATGTGCAGTATAACAGTATAACATTGGGACAGTTGTGCCTCTATGGTTCTAAAATGGTCTGCAATTGTGCAGTTTGAGGTTCCCATATATCTCTTTAGAAATGCATCCCCCTCTGACTTTACATAGGCATCCTATGTGTGCCGAGGTAATTTACTGTTTTTCTTGTGATTTTATCCTTTCTTTGAATATTTTTTCATCTATATTCTGTTGCATTACTTTAGTAAAACTTACAATTATAATGTATTTGTCCAGATTATTGAAGAATTCCAGAAGTGCCATCTGGATCACCCTGTTAAGAAGTTCTTTGGAGAGTGCACAGACCTGAAAATCAAGCTAGACCGCTGCTTCCGACAGGAGGTGAGTGCTTATCATTCCTTGTTTCTATTATGTAATCCTCTAAACCACAACAAGGTATTCTTTTTTAAATAAACCGCCTTCTTCTAAATGTCACATTACTGTACTTAAAACCAGAAAGCTTTGAAGAGAAAGGCAAACTTTGAAGAGAGCAAGAAATTTAAAGAACAGTTGCAGGCTTACAAATCGGAAATTGCAGAGAAAAGCGAGGAATAAGAACTTGGAACGGAGGACAAGGCCCTAAAGGCTCTTAATCTGTGATGGCCTGCCCTCAATTTTGTGAAGGATTTGACGAGTGTTTTTGAACTGCATGTTTCTAAAAAATATTATACACTTTTCCGAGTAGCAGCTAAACTTCAACAGGTTCAAAGTTTCTTCCTTGTTACGGAATATGCTTCCAATTTGTTCATGCATGCTTGTGCAACAGTGCTTTGTGTCAGATATGGACAGCTCACTCTTATTGCCTACTATAAGCAGTTTATTGGCGAGTTCCTTTTATTTGTGCCATTTATTCTATGTTGATGTAATGTGGGCATGTAAATCCAAATAAATTATTCTATAGACCTGCTTCGTGTGTTAGTTGTTAGATGTTATGTACCACACTCAGATGTGTTTTAGTTATTGTAGGAATCATCCTCTTTTCGATACGAATTTATCCTGTGAGAGAATTGTTCCTATGGAATCACGAATATAAGGTATTATCTTTTTCAGGTCATTGAAATCTGAATAAAATTGTGGAGGTTACTCAGCACCACTTTGTAAATATCCCGGAGTCCAGTAATAGTGACCACAATTTCCTTGTTTTGACAGCAAAGCCCTTTAAATTTTCTGTTTTACTCACACAAGAAGAGTAGATGTAGATTAACAGATCACTTTGACCAGTGTAACTGGGTGAATGAGTCATCACATGAAAGCATGTGAGGTTGTTAAGGTGGTCAGTGGTGAAGTTTCGATTTGTTGCATCCTGGGTGGTTATTTTTGTATTTACACCCTGTTTTTCATGTCCATCGATCTCGTGAACCTCTTACTGTAGTATGTAACTGGTGCTGTTCCCATGCCGAAGTCATAGTCATGCTAACAGCTAATAAACATCATGCATAATTCTGATGCTTTCAGAGTCTGAATCAATTAGTTGATATATGGGATTACCTTGTGTTATGATGGCCTCATTCTTTGATACATATTTTGATATCGCTAGTATCAATCCTAGCGAAATCCTTGCTCTTGCAAAAGACCATGTCATGAACAATTGCTTGAAACCCAGAACCCAGCCCTCCAAAAAGTTAACACCTAAGATCATTTATCTCTCTAATATAGACCAGATTGTTGCCTTTCCACCAGAGTATTTTCCATTCATGAGTTGGCTGGGGTTCAGAGCATTGCGTCTGAGGTGATGTTGATCCTTGCTATTATCTGGCTGCAGATTTGAAGAGTTAAATTTTGAGGTAGAAATAAAATGTTTGCCCATCCACAACCTGCTGCTAGGATCTTACTAGCTACTGCAGTATCAGGACATCGATTGGATTAGCATGAAGATTTCTTTCCTTGGCAAACAATTTGTTCAGGGCTTCAGGCATCTATAACTGGGTTGGGGGATTTTTGCAACCCTTACAGATGCCCCATTATTCTTGTTCACGATGCAGGTTAGCTTATGTGTGGCTATATATCTTTGTCAAGCGGGTTTCTTTTGCTTAATCCTCCTGAGTACTAGACGCAAGAAGTTTGACGTGGTTCTGAATGTGCTGAAACATTCTTTTTTTTTATCATCTCATAACTGCTAAGTCAAAAAATTTGCAGTATATGTGGAAGAGTTTCTTTTTTCCCCTTCTTGAATCACATGAAACAAACAAGGAGGCTATCAGTCAATGTGGTTTCATCATAAATTGAAGGGATTCATGCTAGCAAATTTTTTAGGCTATCAGTCATACTCTAGTATGAATTGATCGTAGATCCCTACAAGTTGGTCATAGCAGCAAGTCAGCAACAGTTGGAATGACTATGGCATGCTTTTAAAAGAAAAATAGCGAAGTAGCAATGTATTGCGGGCTTGAAATATATATTCAATTATTTCCTTCGTTTTAATTATGATTGGGAAAATCGGGTATGATTAATGTTCAGTTTTGAGAACTAAGAAGTCAATTCTTGTTTTTGATTTGAAAATAGATAACTTAATTTGATTTCCCCTATGTTTAATTGGAACTTTTCTATAAGAGGCTAAAAGCTTAATTTGATTGTTCTGAACTCCTCAGTGTAATCTGTGTTTTCTGCAACGAAGTTTTGAATTACTACGTTCTGGTTAGCGGTTACTCTACTGCACAAAGTAGCAAAACCTCATGAGCTTGAGAATGATTGCCTGTTGCTGCTCGTCCCAGCACGTCCTGCTTTGGGCACCGATAGCTGCTGGTTAAGCCTGAGCAAAACGGATGTTTGACTAGTTAACACTGCAACAGCGTCCAGTGCCCAGTGTTAATCCATTAATTATAGGAGTATTGCATAGCTTTTAGTTCATTGCTAACGTGCCAATTTCCTGGAAACTTACCTTACATCGCAGCTGGCTTTACCGTCCCTAGTCTGCTCCCCTGACCGCCTGACGCACAATAATCAGGCATCAACACCATCACCTGTTCGGTAGGACTGAAAAATACTGTTTTAGTTGATTGTTGTGAGAGAGAAATACTATTCTAGCAGAACATGAATAGTGATTCCGTGAGTTGGCTGGCCAGCCAGCCAGCCGGCTTAAAGCCAGCCGAACACGCCTACAACAGAGCTAAGGAACAAGGCAGGCTTACCTCGATCGTCCATGGAAGCAAAAGCAATCCCGCTCCTCACGCCATACACCATCGGGAGGTTCCACCTCTCCCACAGGTCGGTTTGTCCACCGCCCATCCATGTATCACCTGGGTTCGGTTTTGTAGCAAGAGTTCATGCGATTCATCCGATTGCTTCACCTCATTCCTTCACTGGCTGTCCATACCATTGCTTGCAAAAGAGTTCATTGCTCCCATGGATCATCTAGGCTGAGCACTTGGTTCTCGAGACGAGAATTCGTACCAGGCATTTCTTGTCCCAGCGTCTAGGGCGAGCACCCGCAAGGTGCTCGATGAATTGCCCCCAAAGTCTGCACAACTGTTGCTTAGGGAGCTCCTGACGTCGGGGTATTAGATTCTGCTTATACAATCGGCCTGATGAGACATCTGCTGTTCCTCCTGTTCATGCCAGGGTTGTCCATGCACCACTCACAAGGTCAAGGTGCTACAACAACCTTCCGGGCGAGCACGTCGCCCTCTACTACTCCCAGAGGGCCTCGGAAGGCGGCCTCCTGATCAGTGAGTCCACTGGGGTCTCCGAGACTGCCCAGGGGTACCCCAGCACTCCAGGTATATGGACCAAGGACCAGGTGGAAGCCTGGAAGCCGGTCGTCGAAGGTGTGCATCAGAAGGGTGGAGTTTTCTTCTGCCAGATTTGGCACGTAGGGAGGGCTTCTACTTATGGTACTGCCGCTTCTCAAGTTCTGGATATTTACGATGACCTTGTAAATTAATTTGTGTTTACTAATGAATTATGCAAATAGGAGTATTGGATATTTACTATGACCTTGCAAGTTAATATGTGTTTGCTAATGAATTATGCATATGCCATATAGGACTATAGGAGTAGTTGTTCTCTAAGAAATTTAATCTTTTATATGTTTCTATAATAGGGCAGAATGGTAGTCATATCATATCTAGGCCAAAACTTGTATAGTTGTTTACAGAGCAGTTGTAAGATAGGCTGCTAGATCATGTTGATTCAACCATCTGACTATCCTGGCTACATAGTTCAGAAGCAATGTTTTTAGTATGAATACCGTGTCTTGTTGAACTGTAACAACTTAAGCTTGTAATGGACCCACAGAAATTATTGCACTCACTGTGAATTTATACAGAGCACGTCATCATATTATAGTACTTTGTATCTAGGATACTTGATATGGATTATGCTGATTCATTTCGTTAGGCGTCTCAAAAGTAATTTTTGATGACTACTGAGTCAAAGTCCCAATGCAGTTGATGGTTTTTGAGTAAGAGTAGCACGTCTTATTGAACTGTAAGAACTTGAGCTTCTTTCTGAAGCCACATAAATTATTGAATGAACACTACACATTTGCGATGTTCTTGTCTCAAGCTTATCTTGTGCTTGTGCATATTATTCACACATACTGCTACCTGCTTGAATGATGCATTTCATGTAGTTGTGAGGTTCCCCTGACAACTATTTTACAATATACATTGCAGATTATCAACCCAATGGACAAGCACCAATTTCTTGTACGGACAAGCAGATCACCCCTGAGGTTCTCGATGATGGGACTGTGGAGGAATTCTCAGCCCCAAGGAGGCTTAGAGAAGATGAAATCCACCAGATTGTCAATGATTTTAGGCTTGCTGCTAGGAACTGCATTGAAGCAGGTACTTCAACCTTTTCCTTTACCTTTCATCTGCATAGTTAACCCCACGGCTTTTCGATTGTGAGGATCTATCAGAGTTCAAATCCACTGTGCATTCAGCTACCCAACATTTACCGTTTTGATCAAATCAAGCAGCGCATTCGTTACTGATTTGGTTACATCAATGGATCCTAGGCTTTGACAGAGTCGAAATCCACTGTGCATTTGGCTATCTCATCGAGCAGTTCATGAAAGACAGTGTCAACGACAGAACTGACAAGTACGGTGGAAGCATGGAAAACCGATGCCGCTTTGCGCTAGAGGTAATCCAAGCTGCCATCGATGAGGCCGGAGCAGACAGGGTTGGTGTCCGTCTCTCACCAAATTCCAACTACCTTGATTGCTGGGACTCAGACCCAGACGCACTTGGCCTGTACATGATCCACGCCATGAACAAGCTCGGCGTCCTCTACTGCAGCATGGTTGAGCCGGAGGCGGTCAAAGTGGATGGTAAGGTGCAGATCCCCTACAAGCTGCTGCATTTCAGGAAAGCGTTTTCTGGCACTTTCATTGTTGGTGGAGGATACAACAGGGAAGAAGGCAACAGAGCTGTGTCTGAAGGTTACATTGACCTGGTGGCATACGGCAAATGGTTTCTGGCGAACCCAGACTTGCCAAAGCGATTTGGGCTGAATGCACTTTTGAACAAGTACGACAGATCCACGTTCTACTCTCCTGACCCCGTTGCTGGGTACACTAGTCGCCCTGTTCGTTTGAGCTTGTTTGGCTGATAAGTCATGGCTGAAAGTACTGTTGGCTGATTTGGTGTGAGAGAAAAATACTATTTGTTGGCTGAAAAAGTACGGCTTATAAGCCAAATAAGCCCAAGCGAACAGGGCGATTACCTTTTTATCAGTCCTTCTGTGTGATTTCTTGAGAAAAGAAAATTTAAATTTGGTGCTATATCTAAATTGTTGAACTGGCAGGACAGCTTATACTCCTCAGGTGCTGCTACTGAACTTTGGTAAAACATTAGTGGTTCCTTTTTGAGATTTTGAATAGAACTTTGTCATAGATTTCAGTGCCTCGCATTGTGTTCTCAAGGAATTTTGACGGGCCGAACATGTTTGTTTGGGACCCAGTAGCACTTTTTGCATAGACCTGGCTTAGTGGCTTTAGATATGCCGCCCACTGGAGAGGCCCTAAGAGCAGCTCAACGCACCTGCGTGGCTTGTAGCCCTGCAGACCCGTGCAGGCTCGGATTCAACATTTCAACTTGGAAGAGAGGTGGTGTTTCCTCATAATATTATTTTGGTTATGTTTTAGCATGCACAGAACATTATCCAATATAATTAAACATAGCCCACAGATTGCTAATAATGGAATGCTTCTAGCAACAATTCTGATCAGGTCAATTAAAACTGTTGCACAATTGCGCGGACCACCATGGCAACGGATTTTTTTTTCTTTTCTGAAAATGTATGGCCATGGACTGAATTAGACGTTGGGCTATGACCAGCCGTCAGCTCGATGTTCTTAACAGTGAGAGGAACATATGACGAGGCTACCGAGAGGCTGAGTGTCACAACTGATGCTAGCTAGCTTTACTCAAAGCTTGAGCCGCACAGGCAAGAAAACTTGAAGGAGGACGGCAGGTGCCCTGTCCTCCTGATGTAGTTGGCCTTCTCTGATGTCCTCGCCGCACGCTCATTGAGCTTCGCCTCAGCGGTCGCCCGCTTCTCCTCGGCCACCCGATGCGTCGTGGCCAGCCGGTTGGACAGCTTCTCTTGAGCCCGTAATTTCATCTGATCGGCCTTCATCTGCAGACAGAGTTTTTTGTTCGAAATGTCAGGAAAGTAGATGTAAGTAAGCGGCTAAAAGAGTCTTAAAGACCATGAATAAGGTGGCGCCACCAATTGCAGACGCACCAATAGTTCCATATCAATCAGACAACTAAGCGAAGCGATTGCATCTTAGAAGCTTACCTGCATTTTCTTCATCTTCGTCTCAGCTTTTCTCTTCTCATGGTTCTCCCAGGCCTGTATCTGTACCTCTTCACGCTTATACCTGAAACAAGACCAAGGCAAGAATTGCACTTAGTAAGTGGCAGATGTGAAGAAAACAATGAAGTCAGAGCTACTGATACAAAACAAAGAAAATACTTATATAAACAAAGCATATTTAAGAGTAGCATTCTCACCTCGCCATGAACTTGGCTCGTTCAGCCTCATCCCAGGCTGCCGCGCGCGACTCCAGCGAATTCGCGCTGGGCACATGACCAACCACGCGGCGCTCCTCGCCGACACAACCGACCTTGCCTGCTGCCGCTGCCTGCTCGGTCGTCCCTACAACGGCGGCGGTGGTCACGCCCACAGGCCCTTCCTGGCGTCTCCTCGCTGGGGTGGACGACCTCGAGGATATTGGGCTCCGCGCAACGGGCGTGGAGGCACGCAGCGGCGTGGCCGTCCTGGACGGCTCCTTGCTGGCGATGGGGGTCATCTCTGTCCCCATGTCCCGCAGGCACACGGACCGCATCACCGCCTTGGGCGGCGAGCCATGCTGCTGCTGCACCATGCAGTCGATCTTCTTGGTTTCCTCCACGTCGTCGCCCTCCTCGCCGGTCCGCGGCGGCGTCGAGGGCGCGGCGGCCACCACCATGCTGTACTCCAAGGCGCCGTCCACGCTGCTGCAGGACACACGGCCGTTCTGCGAGGACGAGCCGAGGAGGCGCCGATCGTCGGCGTTGGAGTTCCTGGGCTTGACCCTGGCGCCGCCGTGGGTTCCGTCCGCGCGGCCGCCGTTCGACATGCCCACGAGCCATTTCTGCGCGTCGTCCCACTTGGACGGCATCGCCTTGGGCCGAGACAAGGCTTGATTCTTGCGGTGCGGACGCCCGTTGGCGCCCTCATTGGTGGTGTAGTCTAACGGCCGCATTGCAGATTTAAGTACTATCATCAGGAGGTGAGTTCATAAGAAGATTGTGCATTGCAGATTTAAGTATTATTACCTGAGTTCATAAGAACAGGTTTGGGCTCCAGATCCAAGATTTTCCAGACCTGAAAGCTACTGGACCAGACCAGATCGAGCTGCATCAGATTTTTCTGAATTTCGTGATCTGAGAAACTTTCAGAAAGCAGGACATTATAGAACACCGTAAACCGAAATTCTGTATTCGAACCAAACAAAAATACGAATCCCCTTCTCACCATTCCCCCACTTTTCTTTCTTGCACATAGCTTAATGGCACACAATCAGTATAAAGCTATAATTAACCTCGGCATTTCGCTCTACTTAGTTGACCTGGAACTGTCAAATCCTTTTCACTGAAAGCGATTGGAAAAGAGAGAACATACAGCGGACAAGAAAAGTTGCTGCTGACCTTGGAATCAAGAAAGAGCCTGCAGGGTGACGATGGCAGGACTGCAGTTGGAACGGAGGATCGACTGCAAAGTGCAAAGTGACTGGAGGACTACTACTCTACTACTAGTAGTAGACTAGTGTAGCATTTTCCGTGCGCTCACCGTATTCCTTTTGGCGTTGGGCGCAGGAGCAGCACGCACTGCGGTACTGGTGTGCACATGGTCTACTGCAGAGAGGATGGCAGGGTTCACGTGACGGGAGAGTATAATAAACACCGGCCGGCTCTGTGTCTGCGCGTCGACCTCCGCTGCATGTTGCTGCATTTCAATTATGCGAGATTCCCAAATTGACCCACCAACTGCACTGTTTACAGGCTAGTAAGTAATACAGCTGTGATGGCTGTCATCGAGCCTGGCTATAGCACGTTTTAATGCTATATATAATTGTGCTCAAATTTCTGCCGAATTAGGCTCAATTGCTTCGGGCTAATTAGTTTAAACCCAATAAAACCTCTGTTAAGTTAAGCCTATTGAGGTTCGGCTCGTCAGCTCATGTCAAACATGGACAAGATCATGCGCACTAAGGGGCTAAGGGCACAGATGGAAGGTGTCGGTGTGAAAAATGACAAACAAATAAATATTTGTAGTTTTGTCGTGCGTTGTGATTGGATGTGGCCTAACACTCAATGACACAGGATTTATACTGGTTTAGGCAACGTGCCCTACGTCTAGTTCCAGTCGGTCGGTGACTTTATTTATAAGTCCAGGTGCTCGAAGTTTGCTGTGGGGTTACAAACGAGTGAGAATAAGAAGGGGGTGTTAAGGGTCCGGTCGAGCTATGAGCCGAAGGGCCAAGAGGGACGGGAGCTCCAACGTGCGCTAAGTATTGGAACGTATGCTCTGTGTAGTTTTAGAGTTCTAGAGCTGTGGAGCTATTCGAGTGCTCCGAACGTCTAAAGCTTAGCAGAGAGAGAGTCTAAATTCCCCATCCTCCTTTTAGGAGAGAGCGCATTCCCTTTTATAGGTAAAGGGGGCGGCCTTACAAGTTTAGAGAGAGAGAAAGAGAGTGTGTGTGCTACCTAGTCTTGTTGCCCACGCCGTCGGATACAAGATAGTTTGTCGACGCCCACAATACTGTTGACGCCCAGATGCATGTGGTAGGCTCCATCGTGTTCTTCTGTTATGGCAAATGTCGGCGCCTACCACACTGTATGACAAATGACGGCGCCCACAACACAGTTCGTGTTCTGACATGTCTGAAAGGTTGCATAGCACCCTTCTGGTATGGCCTGGTGGTACTGTCCTGCAGGTGTGCAGGATACGATCCTCGGTATTACGGTTGATTTGAGCGCCTTGCCTTATCTGCTCCGCCTGATTCTTGGGTCCTCACCGAGCGGGCGTCCCCGGTCGGTCGTTCCCAGTCGACTCCGACCACGCCGATCGGAGAAGGCCTATAAGCAGAGGTTCTGTGTATTCCCGGTCGAAAAAGTGGGTCAGAGACGGAAGCGAGTGTTGTCCCCTCCTTGGTCATGCCTTTCGGTCGGAGACTGGATCGCTCTTTCGGCCTGTCGTTAGGTATCTGGGCCGGCCCAGGAGTCGCGTGTTTGTTGTAATGCCGTCTGCTGGACCGAGCTTTTGCTGGGAAGCAGGTCCATCGGGGACCCTAGTTTTATGAACTTGATAGGAGCCCCTGAGCCCTTTTGGGACTTCTGCAAAGTCGTGAAGGGGCTGTTTTATACTCGTTGTACGAGAGCAACGGATGGGTGCAAGATCATGAGTCGCCGTTGGGCGTGACGGAGCGCGGACCCAGGCGTCGTACCGACGAACCAGCATGCTGATCAGTGGTCGTACAGGGTGTAGGCAGCATAGTGACCATGAGTCTGTCACTGTGGGTCGATGTGAGTCCCCTAGAACGTCATGTCGTGGAGACGGGTCATGCTGAGACGCGACCGCTCCCTATATGATGCCAGAAGTTTGACCTGGGGTTGTACTTTCTGGCCCGTAGTGGTTGGCGGCGGCGCGAGCTTCTGTTAGGGACCATGTCCGAGGGATCGGGTGGAGCGGGGCCAGCCCTCAGACGTCGGGCGAGGCGGAGCCATTCCCCAAATGTCGACCGAGGCGGAACCTACCCTTGAGGGTAAGCCGAAGCGGAGCTAGCCCTCGGGGGTCGGACGAGGCGGAGCCAACCTTTGGGAGTCAGCCGAGACGGGGCCAACCCTCAGGGGTCGGATGAGGCGGAGCCCAGCAAGGGGTGTGGCCTTGGTGGTCCTAGAAATCGCCTGGGGGATTTTTTGACTTATCAGCGGGTGCGTGTGAGCGCACCCGGTGGGTGTAGCCCCCGAGCCCCCGGGTGATTCGGGTAGAATCGCCTGGGTTTTTTCGACTTGCCAACGTTCTGAGCCATCATTTCTGGGTGCGCGGACCTAGGCGTCGGGCGCCAACCCAAACATCGGGCGCGGTCGAGGGGTCGGGAGCGATGGAGCATGGACCCAAGTGCTGGGCATGGCCGAGGGGTTGGTCTAGTTTCATGCGTTATCCCATCCACGGTTTCCGCAACCGGAGGGGCTGAGCTAACGTCGCTTGCCTCGATGGCTCGAGTGACGTGCTCGGTGAGCTCTCTAACGGTATGTCCAAGTGGAATCCGGGTCTGTCGTTCGCAACAGGGTCGGTATAGCCCTCATGTGGCATTCCATTGCTCCTTAACCCACCTCCTGGTAGATGCCTGAGCCATTCCATAGACCGACGTAGGTGGACCGCTGGCCTCCCCTCGATGGAGATTCTATGGGCATGGCTTGAGGTTAGGATCGAACGAGAAGGTCGAGATGACCCTGTATGCTTCTGAGCAGATCAGGCGAGGGCCACTAGGGCTCATCTACGTTTTCTCCCCTGGCTCTGTTTGACGCGAGGCGGCCTTGAGCCCTTCGTGGTCTGGCCTTCAAACCTTGGTCGGTCGTCTCTCATGTCGAATGAGGTGACTACCGCTTCGTGATGCAACACGAAGCATTATGATGCATCAATTGCATATGCAATGCTTTGGATGTATGGGATGAATGAATGATTGCATGGATGAATGTGTGAATGCGTGTATAAGGAAGGATGAATGAATGATTATGCATTAGAAAATAAAATAAAGTAGGAAGATTTGGTAAAGATACCTTGATGACTCGAGTGGCGGGTTTGAGGAGCTCTTATCGGATATATCCGAATGGGATCCGTGTCCGTCATTCGTGATGGAGTCGGTGTAGCCCGCATGGGGCATCCCACTGCTCCTTACCTATCTCTCAGCAGTCGCCTGAGCCGTTTGATCGAATCAGGTAGCCCGTTGGTCTTTCCTTGACGGAGATCCTATTGGTGGGCCCTTCTAAACCCTGCCTAGGAAGGCGGAGGGTCGTTTGCTTGTGGTTGCGCCTTGTTTCCTGTGCCTGGGTTGTGGTAGTGGTGGGTCCTACCTAGGCCACGTCCCGTTTTAACCAGGCGATGTTTCATTGGGTAGGGCGCATCCCATCAGTCAGGACGCATCCCACCGCATGCCTATCTGCATTAAATAAGGGAAGGGAGAGGGGTTTTGTCCTATTCCGTCGCCTTTCTCCAACTGTTGCCTCTCCTCCTTCCTTTTCGCTAAGGTCGTTCGTGTGCCCTAGTGGTTTCTAGGGGAGAGAGAGGGTAAAGCGAGGGATAGGAGAACTCACAGATTTGTTCATGAATCCGGGGCATGATGTTGAACTGCAGGCCATCCAACGTAGACAAGGAGGTGCTTGCCACCTTTGCCATGAAGGGGCTGCTCCCGCTGAAGGAGGTGGCGCATTGGAGGGCTCCTACGCTAGGGGAAGTTGTTCCGCAACCATAGGCCGACGAGGTTGTCTCCTTCCTCGCCTTCCACGAGTGCGAGCTTGGATATCTGTCGATGCAGGACCTACGGGATACCCCACAAGAAAGAGAGAAGATCTAGTCTAACTAGGTCTCTTTTCATGTAATCTTAGTAGTAGTAGTATTCTGTAATTCTACTAGAAACTCTCATTGTAAACCGACTAGGACTCTGACCTTCTGACTATATAAAGGAGGGTAGGGATCCTAGAAAGGTGACTAGGACTTTACGACACGATGCAACACTTTACAATCAATCCAACGCAAAGGCTAACGCCGACTGGACGTAGGGCTATTACTTGATCAACGATCGAGGGTCCGAACCATGTCGATGCAGGACCCACGGGATACCCCGCAAGGAAGAGAGAAGATCTAATCTAACTAGGTCTCTTTTCATGTAATCTTAGTAGTAGTATTATTCTGTAATTCTACTAGGAACTCTCATTATAAACCGACTAGGACTCTGACCTCCTGACTATATAAAGGAGGGCAGGGATCCTAGAAAGGTGACTAGGACTTTATGACACGACACAACACTTTACAATCAATCCAACGCAAAGGCTAACGCCGACTGGACGTAGGGCTATTACTCGATCAACGATCGAGGGTCCGAACCAGGATAAATCGACTGTCTCTTGCGTTTACCATCGAGTTCTGCATACGCTGAAGCCCGAACATACTGCCCCGGGTACCCCCGTGGTAGGCTATCGGTGGTCAAACATTGATAGCTTTCAGGGTGCTTACCTCAGAAGACAACTTTTTCTCATTTTTGGACGAGAAAAAGAAGCCAGTATGATCCCGAGAAAAAGACTGAACAAAAAGAGAGAGAAAAGGCATAAGAACAAAACAAAGACGAACATCCAAAGAAAGAACTCCAGAAAAACTTACCTGGAGCTTTTCACCAAAGGAAGTCGAAAGGCCCCCCCAGGCAGCAGTCAACTCTGACAAACGATGAGTGGCATTGAACTACAGCAACACATCGTCGT